AATTTCACCGCTCCAGTCAACAAACTAATGCACAACAAGAATTCGCCGCGACCACGATACACCGCGCGCAGCAGCGCGGCAAATTGCGATTGTCTTCTCCGCCTCCCTAGTCTCAGCACCTAGAGATGATAGAATGGATAGAAAATGGATTTGTGGCGCGCATTCACTCAGAATCTGCTTTACTAGGTTACGCGCACAGCTACAGTGGACTAATCAAGGCGAAGGAAACATCAACAGGCATAACGATAAGACCACGACTATGAACTTCTGCGTAAGGCAGCGTTCAGACTTCGCGATAGGCAGCGCTTCGGTCGCGCGTTCGATGCGATCGATGCAGTCGAAAGCATGCGCATCGATCGTCGAATCGCGCGACCGAAGCGCTGCCGTCGCGAAGTCTGAACGCTGCCTAAAACGGGATGTAACAGAAATTGCCCAAAGCATAGGAAACTCAGAAGTGAGGTAACGTAGATAGTGAACGTTATTAAATCATCGGACGTTAGTCTACAATATGAGTAGGCTTTTAAAATCTCAATTTCGTCATCGTATTACTATTCATGTAAACAAAAGTGCTCCAGCAGACAGACGTGATGTTAGCTCCTCTTCTTCTATACTATGAGCCCATTCAACCTGAAATTTCACAGAGCGTGAATTTATATCACAGAATATCACAAGGATGCTCAGTCAAGGGAAAAAGTCTTGACCCCATGTAGGATTTGAAACCGCTCCTAACACTCTGTGGGCGTGTTTCCTATCTTTTACACCCTCAGCTTGACGGCGTTTATGCCGTACTCCTACAGCACTTATACATTTAACATGATGACCAGACAGTGGCTGTACTCAACAGCTGACAAGGTAAGCTGCTCCAGAAACATCTGGAAGAATGAGAACCACGTTATATGTGGGTTTTTGGTGTTTAATCAAAGTTAAACATCATCCAGAAGCAGCAGTTGCGATAACGCTAGGTTAACACTCGACGTGCACTGTGAGAGTGACGCTGGAACAGTTCATGTCTTTAACACGTTCCGGACCGTGTGGCACACATGGTGTGTCATGCATTTGTCTTTATGCTGTGTTTTATTTGGTTATTTGAGTTTTCTTTCATATTCTAATGTTAAAAACACGTTCTCAGTTACGAAAGATATATACCTCATGAGGGAGAGGGAGAAAGTTAGTTGTGAACCACTGAAAAATGATGAAATGTTCCGGAAACGCGCGCAGTACGGCGGTCCGCATTGTGGTAAAAAAAGGTGCTGTCCGCCTCGTGGGGGCATTTCACTAGCTATCATCCAGCATTGCCGAGTAATTCTGCGGAGACCTATGAGCTCTTGGGAAGCTCTGCAACACGGGTATGTGACAAGACTATCGTAATAGCCACACTAGTGGGCGTGGTGGACGACGCCGCGCCCGAATAGGCGAGTTGTCTTGCCTCACCGTTTGAAGTCGA